AGGTGGGAGCAAAGCTATTTTGAGCTAAGGAAATGACTGCAGGTGGTAAAATTCACAGGAACAAATGAACAGACTGAGAAATGTTAAATAAGAAGGTTAATGTAACAAAAGCTATAAATATATACTTTCTCTCCTCTCAACTTTTTTTTTCCTTCTAAATTTTATTTATTGTTGAGAATACACACAGCAAAACATATACCAGTTCAACAGTTTCTACATGAACAGTTCAGTGACACTGATTACGTTCTCTGAGTTGTGCAAGCATTCTCACTCTCCTTTTCTGAGGTGTTTCTCCCTCATTAACATAAACTCACTGCCCCCTAAGGTTCCTATCTATCTACTCTTTCAAGCTGCTGTTGTCAATTTGATCCCATAGACATTGTTCTTAAAAGAACACGATCCTCAAGGCAGACCGTTTTCACCAGTTAAGCTAAACTATTGTTAGATTTTAAGATGACTTCGGGGGATATTTTTGGTTTAAGGTTTAAAGATTATCTCAGGGCAATAGTATCAGGGGTTCATCCACCCTCCATGGCTCCAGAAAGTCTAGATCCATTAGAATTTGAAATTCTGTTTTGCATATTCCCCCTTTTGATCAGAATTCTTCTGGTCTTATGGCAAAGTGGCAGATGTGCATGGAGGCAATTAGCCACACATTGCATATCCTCCTCTTATTCCTGACTCCTTTGTCCTCTGTTGCTCCAGGCAGACTAAGGGGGAGGTACTGCTGGACTGGAGTACAGTGCCTAACCTAAAGTCCCTTAAAGGTTTTGCTATGCTGATACCTCATGAGGCTCAGAGCAAGTGAATAATCTTCTCTTGGTTAAATTTTATCAAAGGCCAGAAAAGGTAAAGCCAAGGCAACTTTTGAAGAACCTGACCAGATCAGATGGACACTGGCAGCAGACCTGAATGGCTGGTTCTTGAGGAACCTCACCCTGAGGATTCTTTGCCCTACTGAAGGACTAATTGTTAATGACTGTTTTGGACTGGTGAAATGATTGGGAGGGGAAAATTACACTCCAAGCATGAAAGAACCATGGCTAAAAAGCCAGAGAGTGGCCTGTGGTATGATGGATCAATTCTATATGGCCTTTCTCCCCATGGTCTTATAACTTCCACCAAAAGACTGGGTGGGACTATGCAAATAAAGTGCTTGTGGTCCACCAAGGGGATTGGACAGCTTGCTAATAGTACAAATAAGGTGCATGGCACTTTTTTGGAGGTGGGACCATGCAAATCAGGTGTATGGAATCCTAATGAGGGGATTGGTTAGTTTTGCCATCCTGCTATGCTTAAAATGAGCCATCCCAGAGGTGGAAAGAGGGGTACCTCATTACCACCAAGAAAGAGGAGCTAGGAGTGGAGCATGTCCTTTGGACCAGGATCTTTGTGCTGAGAACCTCCTAGACCCAGGAGACAGAGAGGGAGAGCTGTAGCATGGGAGACGGTGAGAAATGGCGAGAAGCAGTGGCAGAGAAACAACAGCAGCAGAACCAGGAGACAGGCAGGAGACGGTATGGTGGGCTTCCCAGTTCACACAGCAAGAAAGCTGAGTGCCTTTGGGCAGGAGGCTTGCTGGTGGGGTAGGGTGCACCGGGCACTTGGTGGAGCTGGGCTCGCCAACCCACAGAGCAGGAAAGCTGAACACCTTTGGGCAGGAGGCTTGCTGGTGGAGTTGGGTGCCTCCGGGCACTTGGTGGAGCTAGGCTTGCCAATCCACGGAGCTAGAAAAATGAGCATCTTTGAGCCAAGGCTTCCTGGCAGAGTGGTGTGCCTCTGGTACTTATCAGTGGAGCTGAAGAGCTTTGTAACACTTGCTTGAGCAGGGCAGAGGCTGGGCTGAGAGGCCAAGGGCCAGAGAGAGGAATGCCTGTGGGCACGGCTGAAAAGAGGCTGTCCTGATGGAAGCACTGTATCCTGAGTCGTTTCTGAATTGTAACCTGTTATTCTGTAATAAACCCCATAATTGTAAGTGTTGTCTGTGAGTTCTGTGTGGCTACTGAAATAAACTACTGAACTCAGTAGAGAAGTAGAAAGTGCCGCTGGACGGACAGCTGGTGTCAGAATTGGTAAAAAGGTTGGATGTATGTCTGACCTCCACCTCAGGAATCAGCCTTGGGCTGTTGATGCAGATAATGATTCTCCCCCTTCGTGAAGTTAGAGAAGGTCAGATGCCCTGTGCCACCATTTTGGCTAGTAGTTGAGTGCTTAACCGTCTGTGCCTCTAATATTCAGAATGTAAAAAAACTCTCAACTTTTTAAAAAGATATAACATTATATAAAGTAATAATTATAACAATATAATGTTGGATCTGTAACAGATTAATACATATGACAATAATATCACAATAAGGGGAAAAGAGAATAGAGCTGAACAGAAGTAACATTTCTATATCTCACTGGAATTAAGTTAGTATAAATCTGAAGTGGATTCTGGTAAGTTAAGATGTATATGGTAAGCCTTATAGCAATCACTAGGAAATAACTAAAAATATATATAGTGAAAAAATTTATTACAAAAACTAAAATGCTACAGTAGGAAATCTTTGCAAGTCACATATATTGTTGTTAGTTGCTGTCAAGTTGATTCCGACTCATACTGACCCCATGTGTGCAGAGTAGAACTACTCCATAGGGTTTTCAAGGCTGTGAA